TTATTTGAAATCATATATCTGTATATATTTGTATTTGTTTGTTATTTGTTATGTGTGTTTATTCGTTCTTATTTGTTTATTTGTATTTTGGGATTGTGTTGCCGTTGGTAGTTGCTAAAAAAGAAGAGAAACAAACACATATTTGTTGATTTGTTTGTGTTTTTTTCAAGTTTACAATTCAGGTATGAGAGTCTTTGTGCTGAACAGTGATCGGGAGACCCTAAACCTGATGCCATAAATGTTTGCCAGCCTGCATCATGTGGCTGTGGGTGAAACATAGGCACCCAGAAATGGTGCCCTAGCAAATGGAACCAAGGACTGAACCCTGCAGTCCCTTGAATTTCACCCATGCAGGCGTGTAGGGTCCATGGCGGAGACAAAAAGGAGAAGCTGGTGCATTTTGGGGGGAATCTTGGCACATGTCTCCAACTCAAAGAGTCAACCAGAATGCAGATGCCCTCTAAAGGGCACCTGGCATCGCCTCGTTGTCTAAGGAATTTTGGAGACTCGTCCGGTCTCAGTTCTGGTTGACCCCTTCAAAAAGGGACACGCTGCCTTTGGGCAGTACCAAGTGATACCAGGTGTAGCCCCCTATCCCCGAGCCCCAAGCTGCGGCAACTGTTTGGCCAGGTGCGAAACGATGCCTCCAGTTGCTCGGCAGAGGGTGGCTCGAAGCCAGCCAGAGGCTTTACTGTGTGAAGGGACCTGTTTGTCTGTTGGGGTAGACTAGCCTCGAGGATAACGCGGGCAACCCTAAAACAACCGAGACATGCGCATCGAATTGTCCAGTCGGGACAACTTGTCGGTTCCCAGCCGGCCGGTTCCCTAGCTTTTTAGTCGTTTTTAGTTGGTTGAGTGGTTGGGTTTCCGTATTTCACACACTACAGGTTAGTCACTTTTCGAGGAGAACACGGCCAGCCCAGAGCTCACTTCTTCGGGGGCCCCGGCCATTTTGGTCATGTTGAGGGATCCGCAATGCGGCACCTCCTCGGAGCATTACAAGTCTTCTTAGAAGGGAGATCCCCAATTCTATTCTAAGTGTTCTTGCATTACACCCTGGGAGTACACCCACAGGGTATTGACCCCATTTGGATTGTACATGACCGGATGAAGCCGTGTTATTTTGAACCATTCCGGGTCATTTCCCAAGGGTGTAATCCCAGGGTGCAATACAAAAACCCTCAGAATGTTCCATTCTGCTGTTCTTTTTCTCCAAGTAATATCGTTTGGAGAAGGCAGCTATATTTACCTTTGCTCAACAATCCTGGAAGTGGACAGGTGACCCCAAAAGGAAAGCATTCGTCTTAGTCATCCATTGGGGGCAACAGAAGCTTTGTTTCAAGGCCGCGCTGCAAAAAGTTTCAACGGTCTGTCCATGGGAGGCACGTGCCGGTTCTGCCGGTTCGGCGGCCTTTTTCTTTTTTTTGAGGTGTCGCTGCCGGTGTTCTTTCTGGATGGAGGAGCTTGGGCCAAAAGCCCAGCTGCGATTTTTTTTTTATATGGTTGAAATTGAGCGGGGTTGTGGAATCCAGGGGTTTAATCCCACTTCTGTGATACAAGGGAGTCTCCCCTGATATATGGGGTGTTAGTCTTTGGGAGCTCTTTTTGTTGTATCACAGAAGTGGTCATTTCCAGCAACCCTGAAATTGAGTCTCCTGTCAGGTATCCCGTACCAGGTAACCCTTGGTTGGTGGTTTGGATTGGTGGTGTGGAGATTTGAGCCCCTGGCTCTTGTAGAGATTTAACGGGAAGCCCCTCCCCAACCACCAAACCACCAATCCAAGCCACCAATTGGAGGGAGGCTAAATATACGCAGTTGGGGGATGGGACTTTTTGTTTTCCAACATGGATGCGTCGTGTTTTAGGGGACCCCCACCAAAATGGTGGGTTTCTTGTTGGTTTCCCTTTGTAATGTTCCCTTTCAACTAGCAAACGGGAACCTTTGGCAGGGTCCGCCGATCTTTGAGGGTTTGCATGGCAGGCCTCGAAAAGGTTGCGGCTTGCCTCTGACCTCGCAACTAAAACGGGGGGCGCATCCCCATGTTTCAAGCGCCAATGGACTGCACCTCATATGGGGTCGAGGCCTTTGTTTCGCTCGCGAGATTGGGAGACGGGAGGTTCTTCATGTCTTGTGATCTACGACTTGGTCACGCGGTTCCAGGGCCCAACCCCAAGAGAAGGATTCAGACCATGGCCTGCCTTCTGCCTGCGTGGCCGCTGGCACATCCCACGACATCCGCTGGTACTTGGCAATGCGCGGGACACGGAAGCAGCCCCCAGCTGGTCAATATGGGCTTGTCTTTTAAAGGTAGCCCTTTCAACTGTAGGTGTCCATTTAAAAGCCATCCAAGAAAGGGGTTACCAACTTATGCGTGTGACACTGCAGCCAACAGCCAAGACAGATCAACAGCCAAGAAGACCCCGCTTTGAAGGTCATGGGTCCCACCAAAAATCGGGCGCCAGGCATCCATGGACTTTTTCTAAACCAGGGGCAGCTAGGTAGATCGGTGGGTGTGTTCCACCAAAAATCGCCCCCGCGCGATATCTGCTTTTCGAAAAGCCGAGCGCCTTCCAAAAAGCTCCAGTGGGTTCTCCCTGAAAGGGGATAGGGTCGCCAATGCCCCTTGCCAGTTCGCCATGTCCAGGAAAATGGAAATGAGAGTCAGTCATCCCCTGGGCAAATAGGTACACCACAAAGAACCGCGCCCGTCCCCATGGAGTCTGTTTTTGCCCCAACAGGGTGGTTTGGGGGCAGCTTTAGGCTTTAAGGGAGGGTTCCGGAGTGTTCCAGGAGGCGTTTGGGGACACCATCCGAGCATATGTGTTTCCAAGTAGGCCCAGGCTGAAAAAAAATGATTGGGCTTGGGGCCTTTTTGGGCTCCTGTCGGCCAGAGAAGAAATCCTCCCGCCTCAGGCCCCTTCGGTTCCGGACAGCTTCTTGTCCGCCGCGGCACGGGCGGCCACCGCGCGAGCGGAGGCGATTGGACACCTGAGATGCCGATAGGCCGCTTGGCACCAGGCAAGAGTCAGCTACCCTCCAGCTGGTGCTTTGGAATCCGGCAGAGCCCTCTACACGTCCCCCTCCCCCCAAGGCAAGTGGTGAGTGGAAGTTTGATCAACACCGGCAAGAGCAAAGTGGTCACGGTCTCACGGTCAATCTCATTCTGGAATGAATCCAAACCTGCACATGCTGGAATTGGGTGTGTCTTAAGCTAGGGGAACTGCCAAAACGGTGTTCTTATGGTTTCCATTCAAACCATCCAAAAAGGGTACCCTCAGAAATGTCAGACCCAAATCAAGAGGCACTGTGTCTTCGGGTGGGGGAATCCTCCAAAGGTGTGGTTTTCAACTTTGGTGTCGATTGAACAACCGCCCCAAAAAGGCTACGCAGGCTCCTTGCTCGATCCAAGCCAGGCTGCCAAGCAGCGAGTTAGCCTGCTGGTTCGCAGAACCTAGGGATCATTGGCTTGGGGACTTGAACTCCTACATGGAAAAACCCATCCCGGAGCACCTGCAAACCAAACTTCCAGCCACCAGTTGGAGGGAAGCTGACTTCAAGGCAGTTGGATGGCCATTCCCTGACCTGAGAACCAGCAAGTTGCCTCAAGAATTCACGTGCGGCCAAAGGAAAGCCATGCGCGCGTGTGGTTGCAAAATCTGGACGCGCGCTGTGGATCGCGGCCAGGCTTTGGTTTGACTGCCCCGGAGCAGACTTATACCAAGGGTGGTGGCTTGCCTAGGAAACCCTGTTTCGACTTTGGGGTAGTTAAGGAGAATCCTGCGAGCAGCAGTCTTGCCAAGGATATGGCGACTCCTCCAATGTAAGATTCACCGGACACGGTTCATCCAACCAAATAGCACGGGATTGAAGAATAAACATTTACTCTCCATTCTCAGGCCCTAGGATGTGGTGCAATCATGGTTTGACTTTTCCACTGGAATACAATCAGCTTTCCTGGCGCAGCCCCGGTGCTCTATAAGGCAAGGGTGCTTTTCTACTTGGAGGCGGTTCATGACATGTCTGTTTTCAGACCCTGAGAGTTTGATCATTTCTGGAAAATCCTGAATAATTGTGCTTGTCATCCTGGTTTCCCTTCAAAACAAAAAAGACAAACAAGGGGCCTCAAGAAAGACATGCCCACTTGAGTGGAAAAGGCATCCGCGCGGTAGGTTGGATGCATGGAGCCCGGGAAGTTCCGCAAGGAGACGTCGAGACATGTCACTTCGCGACGTCGCGTCACGAGACCGGTGGTTGGGGTCTCGAACTTGCGGTCTCGAACTTGTTTTAGTGTTTGATTTGGGAATGACTGGTTTCGGGTTTAGATATTGGATTTATCGCATGTCGCATTCTGGTGGCGCCCAAAAAAGATGTTTTTATTTCGCCAAGGAGGCAGGGATCGAAGCAAGAAAAGCCATGGGACCTTTTTGTGAGGGTCACGGTGGATTCCTCAAACTGGCTTTTCAGCCCTGGGGCTCCCTTGCAGGTTTCATCATTAAGGGCAATCCGAAGAACCGCGGCTGTCCAGACGTTCGGACGTCGAATCCTGAAGGACGCAGCTGAACCCTCGAAGGTGACGATCAAATCCTGAAGATGGGCCCATCAAAAAATTGAATCGACGTTTAACCCGACCTAACATCTGAGGGAAAAGGTTCGGGTAGTGCAGTGTGGCAATGAATTCCAAGGAACCTGCTCAAAAGTGGTTGGTGGATATATGTTTCCCTGTAAATCGGCATAAGCTAGCCTGGCTTGATGTTGACCCCATACTAATCAACCCTAGTTTACTAAGAGGTGGTGTTCCCCTCCAAATGTGGTTTGATTCCCCACTAAACCCAGGGACACCCCCCTGGTAATGCACCGGGGTTGATGAATATGGAGTCAACATGAAGCCAGATCCCAGGGAGCAAGCCCTTGACTGGATGTGTTTCACCGCAAAGTTTCCATCAAGTTGGCCTGCGACACAGTGCAGCATCCTCGTTACAACGTAGCTTCAGCGGTCGACATGGACATGAAGGCCGGGCAAGTGGGCGGGTTGAAATTCAGGTCTCGTTTGTGGATGGCTTTTGGAAGGAAACCAAAAGGACACCAACCAGGCTCGCCCTTTTGATCATGTGGACAGCTCGCGACACTCAAAACAGGCATGGGAGTTATGGCGACTACACCTCAAAGATGGAGCCAAGTCGAATCGGTTTTGCCTGCAAGATCGATGATCGATCGAATCCGATTCGATCGACCCCTTCAACGGTTCCGACGGCTTGAGCCGAAGGAGAATCTGGTTTTTGTCCGCATCGAAAAGGAGCCCGCTTGGGTGTGTCTTCTTGAGGAGCCCCCCCGAAAAAAGAACAGGAAGAGTGAAGTTGGGTTTTCCTTTTGGTGCCCCCTTACAAACCCCACCCAAAACGGATAGAAACACACGGGTACCAAAGAGACAGACCCATATTTAATCCAAAAACAGAGAAGCGATGTTGTTGGTTTTGGTGCCCCCTTACCAACCGCGCCAAAAACACGGGGGTATCAACTCTAAAAAAGCGGCAGGCCCATATTTCTTCGAGCTCAGGCTCCAGGCATCCCTCCATTGCTCAGGCCGCGGCTCTGCTTCTCCTCTTCGTGCAGGTGGCCGGCAAGCTGGGGGACACCGTCCGGAAGGCGGGGGAGCGCCCGGCGAGGCTCCGGATGCTTTTTTGGGGCAAATCATTAAGTGGGTTGCTTTCAAGGGCCCCGAGGTTGAAAAGGTTCGGGTTCTTAGGGCCCAAAGTTTTGAGGGGTCATGAGAGGTTGAGGTCTTGTGATAAGAGGCGGGTGTCCTTTGCTTGGTTTTTCCGGGGTAGAAGCTGGCCATGAAGTTGGGACACCTGGTTTCATCGTATAACGGGGCCGTCTGCTTTTCCAGAAGGACAGCTAGATTCTGATCGGGTTGTAAGTCCATTCGCAGCAGCGTGATTGATGAACAGGGGAGGGCTCGGTGCCATCGACACTTGGCTGTTTTGCAGACTCAAACCCATGCCCTCAGCAAGAAGGTTGCAACATAGACCCTGAGTGCCCACCACGGGGCCGGGGGGTGCTCTCCCCTCCAACAGTGATGGACCCCTTTTTGTGGGTACACAGCGCGATCAAAATCAACCACTTTTCACTGATCCAGGGTTCACCCGGTCACAACAAATCCCAGGGATTCCACCAAGGGCATTTAGCGCGAGGAGGGCTTTTTGATTTTCTGTTCGCTCGGAGTTGCCTTTGGGTCGCTTGAGTTTGTGCACGAGGGTGCTGTAAGGACCCAAATTTGAGATGTTGAAGGGGTTGGTCGAATGTGTAGAGATTTCAGAGAGGCTTAGATGATCCTGCGGGTAAATGTAACTAGGTGCGTCCCAAATGTGGAAATTGACCCCCCTTCCTTGCCGTGGTGTTTTGTGGAAAGCATCAATTTGTGTGGCTCCCCCATTAGGACGCCGAACGAAGTGGTTTGTAACCTAGGCAAAGATATTCGTGTTTGCCACTCAGGCGGCAGCTGGCTCAGGATGCACCGGTGGTTTTCTCAAGCCATGCCATGCTTCCTTGAACCGAAAGACCTTTGGCATTGGGGAGATTAAATTACTAAAATTGTATGCGCCAATGTGGCTGTTGAACCGGCAACCAAGAGTTCGCCTGTCAGACCCTTTGGGATGGTCGTAAGGAAAGCAAAAGGAACCCTTCAGCTGTTGAGAAACACCCATTTCAAGAGGGCGGCCTGGCTTTGACCGGACTTCCTTCGCTCTTAGCCCCTCCCCTCCCCAAGGATTCGATGCCAAAGCACCCCACCCTCTTTGGCAACACCTTCCTGAGTTGAAGTGGGTTGATCATCTTGAGACAGCCTCGGCAGGTCGGTCGCAGCTATTCTTCGGCTGTCACCTTTTTTGGGGGTCTCGGGGGAGGGTGGGTTTTCAGCTATTCCCCATTGCGCTTGTTCGCAGCAGCGAATGAGAAATGGATTGACCCCCATGGTTTCCTTTAAGGGATTCCCCAAAACCAGTTCATTCCGTTCACTCCCTACCTACTGCACCAGCAAGTCATTTTTTCCACCCAAAGTTCACACAGCCGGCAGGCGTCAGAGCCGGAATCCGCGGACTCCGATTCCCATGTGGTGGTGCAACTGCAGCGCGTGGAGGGCGCGAAGGGGTCCCACTTCTACGTGGGAAACCTGAAGGCCTCTATGGTCATTGACATGATTGAAAGGGAGTCAAAAGCCATTTTCAGGCTTGAAAGGGAAGCCAAAAGGAACATCCACCAATTTTTAGGGTCCCCGTATTTTGACACCTGCCCATATGAATCCTTATTCATAAGGAACATCCACCAGCTTTGGGGTCCCCTTATTTTGATACCCAATCATAGTTGTTTCTCTTATTTGGTGACGGGGTCCCATATTTTCGCTTACATCACCTCATGAATTGGGGTTTGCGGACAGGGTGATTTCAAACAAGGAGTGTTTATACACAAAAGTTGTTCAAATACATTTGACAAGGGTCCATGCCCAACCCTTGCCACCCTGTTAAATTCTCCCCCCCCTCCCCCCCAGAACATAGTTTCGTACGCATAGATGTGGGTCTGTCTCAGAGTGGGGATCCTTCAGGGCTCCTTAAAAGATACATTTTGCCATTTGAAACATGGCGTTTGCAACACCAAAATAAAGGGACACCACCATTAACAAGGCAATGTTCAGGTGTATAATGTAAGGATCCCTGTCAAACCACCCCCAAAAAGGCACCCTCAACAACAACCCAGCGATTCTAGATGCGGGTGAGGTTGACTTTTGGTGGTTTGGCGCCCGGTGGCTCCAAAGCACCTAGGAGTTGCCTGCGATTCGGGGTTGAGACCCAGCGAACATTGGTTGAAATCCAGGATTTGAACTCCAAGAACCACCCAGCAGAAGGCGAAAGACCAACCACCAGCAACCACCACCACTTGGTCAGGTTCAGATCCAAGAACAACCCAGCAGAACGCGAAAGACCAACCTCCAGGGGTTCAACTCCAAGAACCACCCAGCAGAAGGCGAAAGACCAACCACCAGGGTCCAAAAACCACCACTTGGTCAGGTTCAACTCCAAAAACCACCCAGCAGAAGGCGAAAGACCAACCACCACAATCAAAAAACAACCACTTGGTCAGGTTCAACTACAACAACCACCACAAAGTGAAAGACGAACCACCAGGTTCCAAAAACCACCACTTGGTCAGGTTCAGATCCAAGAACCACCCAGCAGAAGGTGAAAGACCAACCACCACATTCCAAAAACCACCACTTGGTCATGTTCAACTCCAAAAACCACCCAGCACAAGGCGAGAGACCAACTATCAGGTTCACGGGTCCCATTGCGCCGTGGCGCGAAGTCAATGTTTGTTGCTGCAAAATACTGGTGATGGCAAGGTATTTAACAATCTCTAGAAACTAGCATACACGAGAAGCTCGAAAACTACTTGGCCGCAATCTTCTTTCACATGATGATCTCCCAATTCCTGCACGAGCTGCGAGACATCAGATGTCTCGCAGCTCGTGCAGGAATTGGGAGGGTGTCAAGGCCCCCGCCGCCTGCATGATGTGCTGTCTCCACATCCATTGGTACACATACTTCACAGCTTCTTCATTGAGCCGTGACTGAAGATCAGGCGGCGGGGTAGCCACGGCTTCAGAGCACCCCAACTCCTATCTATACATTGCGTTCCTGCTTGCCCGCGTATCTTTCGGGCACCGTGACGGGTGGGCCTGCAAAAGACTCGCAATTGATGCGACACTGCTTCTGCTTTCATGCCTGCAGCCTTTGCCGCTGAGTTCCATGCAACATTTCCGTCAGCAATTATGCACACGCACTTTTGCGGGTGTTTCACGAGAGTCAGCAGCTTGGAGTTGTTTTCATTTTGATGTGGGTATGTTTGGGGGGTTCCGGGCCTGGCCCAAGCTTTCGGTTGGAGGCCTGGACTTGGGGACAGCGAGCGCGGGAGGCGCAACCCACACGCACGGCGGCCCGTTTTTCTGCCTAGGTGCGAGCACTGGAACATGTGCCACGAAGGCTTTCGGGATGGGCTTGGACTTCCGCTGCAAGGTTTCTACCAGCTTGGAAATCTGCTCCAGTCACCTCTACCGATGCATGCACAGAACACAACTTCCGGACCTATTTCCGGCATCTGCAGACAGACAACTCTGCTTGTGGCCGAGCCTTCCACCCAGACACCGTCAATCTTGCTGCCAGATGCCTTAGCGTCTGGACGCGGATTGTGGTGGGCGAGGGCACCGGCGACAAGGGTGGGGACAAAGCGGAAGCCGAGAAGTTGGTTGCAGTGTCCGGGTGCGCTCTACGGGCGAGGCTCCTACCTTGACCCGGAGGCGGGTGTTTGAGACTGACCACTCACTTTTCCTGTTTATCAACCTGACTCTTTGCAACTTCCAACCTCATCCTGCCACAGTTGAACCTCGCCCCACACTTTGATCGTTTTTGTCAGGAAATCAACGCCGCAGACCCTTTGAAGCTTGAGGAGTTGCTGGAGAACCAGGCAACGTACCTCAAGCGAGTTGAGCGGGCAAAGGAGCGCCTTGACAAAACGAGCGCGCTGAAAGAGAATTTTGGGGTCTCTTGAGCGGCTGGGCGCCGCGCAGATTCTGGTGGCGGGGCGATCCGTCGCAATTCTGGCAATCGCCAGCGGGGTCCATGCCGTCGAAGAACATCCGGGCAACCAGGAGGGCAAGCCCTCGTGCACCGAAAGCTGCTGGGGTCAGCTCTTGCCGTCCGGCTCCAGGACAGGGCGTAAAAGGGTGAGGTTGGTTCCTTCTCAAAGAAAACCTTAGGAAAAACCCTGCAGGAGTACACAGACACCTGGCTCCCAATCATCGCAGAGTACAAGGGTTGGGAAGAGCCAGAGCTCGTGCCTCCTCGACGAGCTGGTGAAAGCAGTTTCCATCTCTTCGCCATGTTTGGGGAAACCGAATTCCGGAAATTCATGGTGGACGTTGTTTGCCAGGACTGGGGTGGGCCTGCCTGTTCCAACTTTCAACCTTACCCTTTTCCTTGTTCAACCTGCCCCCGCCCATTTTGAACCTGACCGTTACCCAGTCCAAACCTGTAAGGTGGGCTCCAACGATCTGAGGGCGGCGGCTGCGTGCGCTCTGAAGCAGAAAGCCCAAGAAGAAGGCGTGCCGCGTGATGTTGTGCTGTACCACTGTGCACACAGCGCGGCGGTAGGGCAAAGACATCACCGCGCGCAAGAACCAGAGAGACTCAGCAAAGTCTATGAGTCTGGCGTCTGAACTGTTCATGTAACTAGGAGCTTCAAGGGACAACTTCTCCAACCTTCCTCTTTTCATCCTGACCTGATTTTTTCTGCTTTATTTCTGCAATTCAGACACCCAGCCGGCAAGCCCAGGTAAAGCACCAGGGTAGATTTGACACAATCAAGCCGTGACAAAATCGAAATACAGATTATTCAAAGGATTGAATAAATCGATAAAACACAAAGCTAGGACGACCCAAACACAGCCAAACCACCTCCTGAGCGCAGCTGGCGCCTATATGGTGCTGCGAGGTGTGTGGCTACCACGGCAGAACTCAAGAAGTGTTCCAACCTGATTCTAAAGCATCCCAACCTACTTCTTGGGTGTTTCTTTTTGAAGACGGAGCTGATAAGACGGCCCATTACATGGGAACATAAGAAGAGACTTGTCCTGTTTAAAGGCTTGTCCTTTTGAAGGGGTGTCCTTTTGAGAGGCTTGTCCTTTGGAAGGGTGTCCCTTTTTAAAGGCTTGTCCTTTTGAAGGGGTGTCCTTTTTAAAGGCTTCTCCTAAGGGGTGTCCTTTTGAAAGGCTTGTCCTTTTGAAGGGGTGTCCCTTTTTAAAGGCTTGTCCTTTTGAAGGGGTGTCCTTTTTTAAAAGCCTTGCCCTTTTGAAGGGGGGCTCCTTTTTAAAGGCTTCTCCTTTTGAAGGGGTGTCCTTTTTTAAAGGCTTCTCCTTTTGAAGGTGTCCTTTTTAAAGGCTTCTCCTGTGCTTATTGGTAAACATACCCTCCTTCTCCTGCTTCCTTCCATCAGGCAGATACACCTTTCAACCTGATTCTATTGTTTTTCCATTTTTTTTCGAACCTTCTTTTTGGGGGTTTGGGCGCCACATATTTGAACCTGATTCTTATATAAACAACATAAAAGAATCAGGTTCGTTGCTCGGAAAGCTTTTCGAACCTTACCACTTTAGGGTCCAAGAAGCCACCACTTGGTCAGGTTCAACTCCAAGAACCACCCAGCAGAAGTTGAAAGACCAACCTCCAGGATTTGAACTCCAAGAACCACCCAGCAGAAGGCGAAAGACCAACCACCAGCAACCACCACCACTTGGTCAGGTTCAGATCCAAGAACAACCCAGCAGAACGCGAAAGACCAACCTCCAGGGGTTCAACTCCAAGAACCACCCAGCAGAAGGCGAAAGACCAACCACCAGCAACCACCACCACTTGGTCAGGTTCAGATCCATCAACCGCCCAGCAGAAGGTGAAGACCAACCACCAGGGTCCAAAAAAACCACCACTTGGTCAGGTTCAACGACCAACTAGCAGGGTCCAAAAAACTACCACTTGGTCAGGTTCAGATCCAAGAACCACCCAGCAGAAGGCGAAAGACCAACCACCAGCAACCACCACCACTTGGTCAGGTTCAGATCCAAGAACAACCCAGCAGAACGCGAAAGACCAACCTCCAGGGGTTCAACTCCAAGAACCACCCAGCAGAAGGCGAAGGACCAACCACCAGCAACCACCACCACTTGGTCAGGTTCAGATCCAAGAACCGCCCAACAGAAGGTGAAAGACCAACCCCAGGGTCCAAAAAACCACCACTTAGTCAGGTTCAACGACCAACTAGCAGGGTCCAAAAAACCACCAGTTGGTCAGGTTCAGATCCAAGAACCACCCAGCAGAAGGCAAAAGACAACCCACAAAACCACAGGTTCAACTCCAAGAACCACCAAGCAGAAGGTGAAAGACCAACCACCAGGGTCCAAAAAAAACACCACTTGGTCAGGTTCAACTCCAAGTGAAAGACCAACTTGGTCAGGTTTAGATCCAAGAACCGCCCAGCAGAAGGAGAAACCACCACTCAGTCAGGTTCAGATCGAAGAACCACCCAGAAGAAGGCGAAAGACCAAAATCCACCACTTGGTCAGGTTCAGATCCAAGAACCACCCAGCAGAAGGTGAAAGAACTTGGTTTTAAACAGCGTCCAGCTCCAAACCACCGCACCATTTGGCCTCAGGTGGGCGACCCGGGCCAAGACTTCCAGATGCTCTTCGATACTGCCTCGGGCCATGTGATGGTGCCCCACGCGGCCTGCAAGACACTTGGACCAAGTGGCCAACTCTCTCCCACATGGCTGTGGCTCAAAATTAAACAGCTGGGGTTACGCGGGTTTTAGTCATTGTTTCCATACACCGGAAAGCCAAACTTTTTGACTGGGGAGAGTTCTGCAAATTCCCCAAAAGGCTCGGTGTGCTTGTGGTATGTATTTTGGGTACCCGAAGTTTGGGCCGAGATATGGGTGTACCTTAAAATGGTGGGACCCACAACATGACGGTTTTTAAGCCACCCCCAAGGGCATCCCAAAACGACACACACACAATATCCGATAGTACTTTTTTCAATGCGACACCACCTTTTGGCTGCCACATTTCCAATATTTTCCCTCAAGAAGTTGCTTGTTGGAACGTCACCATTTGGAAAGGCCACCCTCTTCGCCCGGAACCTAGACAAAACCCGCCCAAACCTTGATGGATGGGTAGTAAGCTCATTCCAATCACTCCTGTCCTGTAGATTTTCTATGGCTGGTCTCTTAGAAGCAATATGTGTTTTATTGTTGTTTGTTTATCTTTGTTACCTCTTCAATGCGAATCCAAAGTAAGCTTCCCGCACCGGTGATGCTTAAATGTAGGGGTGGGAGTGTTCCACTGGTTCAGATGGCCGACCTACTTGGCTCGAACATGTTCCTGCCCAAGAGTGTTGACGTTTTCATTCTACACTTGTTGGCAGAACCAATGCAACATGTCTGGCAGCTTTGTCTTGTCGAAATGTGTTGTTGATCTTGTGGACTTTTTGAGGCTTAGTTGACTCTCGTTTTTGCCCGAAGGGATGTGTGTAGGAAGTCCAGAGGCATTCTTGACCACTGTTGGAGGTAGGCAAGCGTATCCGAAGCGCCAGAAAAGCGATCGAGGCTCGTTGGCAAAAGCATGGCCTTGCAAAAGCTTGCGTTGATTCCTAGGGTTCAACCGACTGCCATGAACAGAATGGCCTTGGGGCCCAATTTAGATGATGACAATCCTGAACGTTAAACCCTTCATTGGATCAACATAGATGGTTACGCCCTGTTAGGCAAATCCTCCATTTAGATGGTTGTACTGTTGTACCAACTCTCATTTGTTTTAATGGTGGCAGCTCACGTCAGCTCTCAAAAGTTGGTATGAAATTAATTCACCCTTCGACATGGCACATTTTGCTAGATAGCCTCAAACGTGGGGGAGCCCCTATTCTGGTGATCTTTCATTTCCCCTTCAACCTCAAGTGTGTGGTGGCCCCTTCAAAAACTCACTCTTGAAGGCTCCTTCAAAGTGTGCTTGTTTGCATCTGTTTGCTTTTGAGGACTCCGGTGGGGTTTGCTTCTCAATTCCTGAGTAGATTGGCCACCACCAAAATGGTATTCCCACAAAGTCACTAAAGTCCAGGATGTCATAGCAACTCCAAAAAGGGCCTCCAAGACAAAGAAGAGAGAACTTGTGTTATCCCCTTAGCATAACAAACTTGTGGCACCCCCTTCAAAAAACAACCCCAAACGGGCCCTCCAAGACAAAAAAGTGAGAGCGCCTCAGGAGAATAGCAACTCCAAGGAGCAAGAGAACCGAACACTCGTGGTATCCCCTAAGTATAGCGAATATAGCAACTCCCAAAGGGCCCTCAAAGGAAGCGAGAGCACCTCAGGAGCCCCGCCTGTCTGAAGCACCGCCGCTTCGTCCCTTGGCACTCCTCCACCGCCGTGGATGTGAACGCCAACGGCTCCGCGGTGGCGCAGCACCAGAGGCGACACGACCCGCCGAGTCGACCTGGCGATTGGATGTGGCGGTGTGATCTGTGTTTTAACATAAAAGGGAAGAAAGAGAGTAAACGATTATATATATATATATACAAAAAGCAGCGAAAAGTCACCTTGGGTCAATTCGGTTTCTGAACATCTTTTGGATGTTGGGATGGTTTGAACACCTGGGTCCAGCGACGCCTGGGAACGGGGCTTAGTGGAGAGCGGGAACAAGCAGTGTGTCTAATCACCAGCCAGTTGTGGTGTGGTTTGACCATCATGTTTTGGGATGGTTTCAACATCACCTTGGGTCATTCAAAGTCAATGTTCCTGAGGTGAGGGTGATAGTTTGCAGGTTGGAAATATACTTGGCTGCTGTTGCCTTGGCACCTCAACCTTTCACTTGTTAGGACATGTCATGTGTTCTTTCTCTAATCCACAAACGTGATTTTTGTGTCGTTTCTCGCAGGGGGCCACAGCCAGCATTCTCAATATATATATATATATCTAGCAAGATGCTGAACATGTAAACGATCAAAAGAAGACATGATCAAAACTCAGCTTGATACCCTATTCGTAAATAAGCAAAAGCAAACAACTGATGGTTTACAACAAAATCGACGATTTGTCCCTGTCCTTTTCCTTTGTTTTGTTGGTGTGTTTTTGTAATCAGCTGCCAATGATCGACCCTCTTTCCTTCAATCAGACGTTTGACCACTACCCCCTCCATGGTTTGTCCTTTGGAACACTCGTTATGCACCCCGCAGACTCAGCTGGTTTCCCTTTTGGCTTCCTGGAGAACAAACCAAAAGAGGGTTCCACTCGGAAAGGACGCCCCCAAATGGCAGGCTCCGCACGAGCAACTTTACGGGATCTAGTGTGGCAAAAGGGATTGCCATCAGGACAGGGGGGTAAATTGCAAAACTCCCATGTCGCCGTCACATATTAACATATTGACCGTGACTGTGGCTTATGTCAAACAAACAAGCAATATTAGTTATAACTACCAACTCTCTAGGGGTACCTTCCCCATTCTTTCCAAAGATCCTTCTTTCTAGAAAACCTGCAGAATCGCAGAGAAAAGGGCTAGTGTTTGCCTTGAACGATGGTTGATCAGAATGGTTGGCATCAACCCTAACTCAAGAAAGCATATTTTATACCCCCCCCCCAAAATGATTGGCGCAAGGGTTTTGCTTCCGGATTTGCCACGGAGACCCGGCCTCACCCCCCAAAATGGCGGTTTTCCTGTTGGTGTCCCTTTTACCCCCCCAAACCCCCCCCCCCCGCTTCCCCCCCCCCACCCGATGGAGGCTGGTGAAGGGAAAGGCGCTGCGGGACGCGGTGGCGGTGGAGTTCACCCAGGCGGACCTCGGGGAGGGCGTGGCCAACGCGGTGCTTGTGAGGGACGAGGTGTGCCTCGGCACCGAGGCCTGCGCCCGGGCTCGTCGGGGCTCGCTGGACGTCGGGTGCCGGGTGTCCTCGCGCGGGTGAGCGTGGCGGCTGGCCGTGGTGGGAGTGGGGTGGGGTGGCAGCGGGGTGGCCGGTGTGGAGTGGGAAGGGAGTGGACTTGGGGGTTGGTGCAGTCGGCTGAAGCAGCCGAAAGCGGGGAAGAGGGGGGGGAGGTTCGTTGCGTGGACAGGGAGTCTGGGGTCATGATGTGGGACGGTTTTATTTTTTGGGGGTTGTCGAAGTCAGTTGAGTTGTTTCCCTTAACCGACCGTTTCTAGGAAGCGAAATCCATGCCGCGCCACTGTTCAGAAACCTGGTTTCTGATTCGAGCCCCCTGTAAATGTCCAACAAACAACGGTTTCAACCCTGGTTTCAGAGTGGTGCAGGAAAAAAAGTCCATCCGCAGTACCACTTGGGGACTTCGGGGGGCTTGGAAGTTTGCCCCACTCTGGATCTCACCGGGTCCCTCAAAAATGGGATTTGAGATGGCGGGGGCCGACCCCTGGAGATCTCCAGTTCCATGTTCCCGAGTTGATCAATGGAACTGGGGGATGTCCGCCCCCCACCTCAAGGCAGGGATCTAGGTCCAAGGGGCCCAAATGATACATGTCCTTCCCAGATAGAATTGTGGACTGTCTGGGCTTGGTTTGCCAATGTTTTAGACCTGTTGCAAGATGGAGTTCGAACCTGAAAACCCACACATGTGGTTTTGGCATGCTCAGAGGCACGTTCTGTAAACCAGATTTCCCTGGAGAGCAAATGTTGTGGCTCCCCCCCCCAAAATAAAACAACAACAACAAAAACTACTCCTTCAAAGCATCACATTTGTTGTCCTCCCTGTCCAGACATTTCCTCCTCAAATCCGGAGGTCAGCGGTAAGGTATGCGCCCAAGTCGACCTCATGACCGCCATCAAGCTGGAGGCGCGTCTGTTTTGAGGATTTGGCCTGACTCGTTTCATCACCCCCAGTCACGCTCAAAATGTCCCACAAAGTTGTCGGATACCGAGGACGTAAGCTGATTTTCGTTAAGCCAAGTATCTTCAAGTGAACCCTGGAAACCCTAGATCCATCACAGCATACTTTGAACTGTTGCTAGAGGTATTCTCTTTGGTCGTGGGCGGGACCCTTGCAACCGCTCGGTACACGTTGTTTTCCCAACACCAGCACTTTGTCAGGGTCATTTTGTCTCACTGCCAGATTCCAAGACTGACCTTGTGTGTGTGTGTGTGTGTGTCCACATTGTAAAGATCCTCTCACTGTTTTGACAACTTGTGGCTTGATTGGAGGAACTTCTTGGATGGTCTGGGTGTTCCGGAGTTGTAGAACAACTAGCTGAAGGTGGTCTTAGAACATGTCGCCCACTGAAAGCCAGAAAGACTTCAATGGCAGAGTCACGGGAGATTTCAGGTATTTAGCAGGGTATGAATTTTGATTAGGGACCCTTTGGTGGACACCATTTGGGCTGGGATTCTTGTCTACCAACTTTTGGGGTGGTTCCAACTTGCAAAGTTGGCCAGACAGGTACCCCCGGACTTTCGTTTGCGTCCGAAATACAGGCTCTGAACAGAAAACAAAAACAAAGCCAGGGGTAGAGAGTCTCGTGCCCACATGTCCATGTATTTCATTTTGAAGGAGACCAAAGGGAAAAATCACCTCTCTTTTCTTTTCTTTTCTTTTTTTTTTTGGGGGGGGGAGGGGCTAAAAAAGACAGGAAACCACATTTTTTTGTGTTGAGCTAAGAAAACAACGGACCCATATTTTGCTTCCACTGGCAGCGCTTGCAGGCCGAGCTCTTCAATGACATGCCCTACGACGGCATGTTGGGCCTCAGCATGGCCGGGCTGTCGAGCGGAGCCCACAGCGTCTTCTTCGCGCAGCTTATGAGGCAGACGTGACGTGGGGGTGGATGAAAAGGTCCATCATGTTGACCCCGGATGAATAAACAGGGGTTTATCAATCTGGGGTCGTTGGGGGGTTGGTCAAAGGGTTTCTGATACCTGTTTTGTTTTTTAGTCGTGGGCCGGAATGTCGCTTTTTGTCGCGGTTTGAGCGTCGTCTCGTAAAGTTACATGGGATTGGATGACCGTTGGTGGGAAAACCGCGAAAAAGATGCGACATTTCTCACGTGGAAACAGTTTGTTGTTGGGAAAACCGCGAAAAAGAGTCGAAATTTCCCACGTGGAAACAGTTTTTGGTTGGAAAACTGGCAACAAATCGATATGTCCCACATGGACAAAGTTTCCCATGCTCATTTAGGGGCCAGGACTATTGATCACCCGCCATGTGGTTCAAAAGGAGGGTTCCGGAGGACGTAGCGCTCCGGGGCTTTTTTTTTTCATATCACCTGGGCTTTTGTTGGAACCCACCAGTAACCTGCAACTATGGAAGGGGCAATGCACAGTGACCCGTTCTTTTTTTGTTGTTTTTTGCCCCCTACGATTCATACCTGAACTCTCTGAATTCCAACCTTAAAGAAAAACAACAAAAACAGGGAACGAGGCCTGACTTGCCCAGTCCCTTTTGGGGGGGGGAAACACATCATTTCGATGGCTCGCATGGTGGAAGATCTTCCTTTTCTGGTAAGGTGGTCCTAGAGTCATTGCTGGACTTAGACTTAGCATACCTTTCGAACTTTTGGCCTTTTTGGGTTCCATAGTTTTACCTTCAACCATCAAAATATGTTGCAGTTTTTGCAGCCAACATGTGAGGCAGTAGGGTCCTTGTCCCTCAGATATACGCATAAATCCTGAAATACATCGAGGCGACCAAAAGGGAAACAGGAAAAAGAAACTCAAGGATACCCAGAACAATCTTCAGACCCAGGAGCAACCGGCAGAAGTGAACGGATTTTGAATGGTTTCGTATAATTTATTTGTGAATTTGAATGGAAACTGGCCAACGGCAAGAGGACAAAACGGAAAGCAGGCATGAACTCAGTTAAACCTCAAATACTCAGCCCCAAAGAGCAACCGTCGCCAGGCCAGGCTGTTTGCCTGCGTCTGCAAATTCTCGCATCTTCGTGCTTTTTCTGGTCTTGTTCTCGCGGAATGTGTGCGTGGCTAGCCAGCAAATGGTTATAATCTTTCTTTGCAACGGGTGGGTGGGTGGGTGGGGAAAACAATTTTCTCACACAAAAGGAGCAAATCTCCCATGTGCAGGCCACTTTTCCCCTGCTGAGGCGTTCAACCAACTTGTGGGTTAAACCGGGAAAACTGTCGTTAGTCCCCGTAATCTTCCATGGTTGCAACTCGTTTAAGTAGTTTTTTGCACACCCAAGTAGGTGTCATTAGGATTCTGCTCTGGCTGGAAGATATAGATGGATTCCAGAGGTTCAGTTTGGTTGACTCCAGTATTATGGAATCCCTAAATAGGCTTTGGTAGAGGGGGGTGGGTACTTGTGAGGATTTTTGGGGCTTTGTAGGGTTTCTTAGGGTGTTTTAGGGAGCCTTTAGAACACCCTCTCCACTTGGACATAATTCTTGATGCTGCTCGGTCAGGAATGACCTTCCGGGTTTTGGAAGGGGGTTCAACTCAAAGGAAACCACCAGTTGGATGGTTTTTCTTGGGCCCCTGCCTGCCGATCGAACCAGCCAGAGAAAAGTTGCTTTTTCCACAGTGCCAGGAACATAGAGCTGGATTCCACAAGTTTCAGTTTAACCACCCAAGTAGCTCTTCCCCCCCCCCCAACCTCCCCCCCCAACAACCTCCCCCCCACCCCCTCACCCCCCCCACCCCCCCCCCCCCCCCCCCACCAGGCATTCCAGGAGCAACCCCCTGGTGCCGCATTCCGGCCTGGCTCCCAACTTGGCGCCGCCCAGTCCGCTCTACCGGGCCTCCACCTTGGGCGCGTCCAAGCGTGAGGCTGATCCCCTGGGGTTTGCCACGACGCCAAGCGCCTCTTGATCCGGAACTGGCCATAATCCAACTTGGCGGTTAGCCGTCCGGTTCCTTCGCTTAGGCTTTTAGTGGGTGTGGTGGGGATTGGAGGATTTGTTTTCCTTGTTTTGTTTGAATGTTTTTGCTTGGCTTCCATTTGCGGAAATGGGTGTGGGTCAAAATTAAACCACCAGGGGATCCCAGGTTTTAGTCCATGTTTCCATTTACCAGGGTTCCATTTTGTGTAAGGTCCAAAATCCCAAGTGCCCCCACGAAATTGCAGGTGGTTGCTTCCATTTGGTTAAAAGAAATATGGTTGTTATTTGTTTTCCCGGTGGGTTTTACCGTTGGTTTATCTACCACTACTGGACACATTTTGTCATGTTTGCCGGTGGACTCAAGCACATGGAAGTTGGTTGCCATGGTTATCGCCCGTGTCTTGTCGGACCGGAACTAGCGAATGCAAAAGTTAGTCACTTAGCAGGGGATCAAGGGCCACCCAAGGAGGAACATCCGGCGTTCAAGCTTCGAAAAGCTGGGCTTGCGACAGAAACACCAGGAGACGTATTTGTTTCTTGGTTTCAACCAGGAAATCGGTTGTCAAGCTGGTCTCGGACACTTCTTTCCTTGTCCCTGTCTCAGATAGTCGTTGTCCGCTGGAGGTGGTTTGGAAGCCAGCAGCTTCCTTGACTGTCTCTTCTTGGGGATTTGAACCATCTGAGGTTTAAAGTGAGCATTTTGTGCATATATATGTACCATATATATATATACACATCTGTCGCAACCCTGTGTTGAGTTTGCTGGGGTTGAACAAGCTGTGGGCTGGAAGCCCGAAGGGAAGCCAACGGGAATGTGTGTCTTGTTCACTTCTCGCGATTCCAGGCAAAGTGTTTCCTGGTGTTCACCCAGAAGGGCCTAGGTAATGCCTAGGTAGACCAATGGTGTTTCAAAGGGAACCATGAGGAAGCAAACCATGTTTGTGGAATCGACTCTTCGTAGCTCTCCCATGTTTTCCGAAATGTAGCCATAGAAAAGGCGGAGCTTCTTTCTCTTCATCCCCAAAAAGGCAACCATAGGAAAGGGGAAATTCAAAAACAAATCCCCCAAACTGTAGCCATAGAAAAGGACATTCATAAATATATCTCCCAGATGATAGAGAAGTTCCCTGCTTATCCCCAGAACCAAAAAAACATACAGGGAAACTTTCCCGTGTTCCTTGCACATATATATATATATAGATATGAATATAATATATATATATATATATATGTATATGTATATATATATATACACATATATATATAAGAATATAATATATATATATATAATACTTACCCCCTGCATTGCGCCTCCTTCATAGCCTTCTGCCACGTCTCTGACGTTTCGAGGAACAAAGAGCCGAGCGGGCGATCGATCCGTGATTTCAGGACGGCTTCTGGGAGGTCAGCGTGCGCGGGGTGCGCTTGGGGAACCTGACGCTGGAGACTTGCGCCAAGGGCTGCCGCGGCATCGTGGACACCGGGGCTTCCCGGCTCGGAGTGCAGGCGGGGGACAGGAGGGGCTTGGGGGAGGGGTTTGGGGGAGGGGTGCGCAAGTTAAGTGGGTAGCGACTTGGGTTGTTGCCCCTGAATAACAAGGCTATTTCCACTTAGGGGGACTTACAATTTGGTTATAGCTTAGGGGTACCAACAACTTACTAGTTTGGCCGAACACCCAAGCGGGGCACGGCCGGGAGCCTACATTCGAGTCTCGCGCTGCGGGTTCTATCGAGCCTGAAGCTGCCTTGCTGTTGGGAAAAAGACACCAGTTTGTTGTTGAATGGCTTATCTCCCCTGTGGTTGGAAGTTACGGGAAACCAAACCCAGTTGTTGCAGATGGCTTGTGCTTGGTGAAAGGGAAATCAACAGGAAACCATAGGGAGACCCAGAGAAGGACTTTATCTAAACGGAAACCGCTGCCATGAAGAAAAAAGCCCGGCGCAAAACGAACAAGAAGCCAGCCAAAGGGACCCGCCAAGTTTCCCCACATCAAGAAGCATCTTCAGATATGTATCAGTTTTAAGGCCCCTGGTTCGGGGTTTCCCCCCGGCCACCCAGATCTGCCGCTCGCCAGGCGCAGAACTTCCAGGCGCTGCATTCCGCGCTGGCGAAGGCCTCCCCCTTGGTGGGGGGCGGCTGCGAGGCGCGACTCCGGGCGCAGGGCGGATCGGCTCGGCTGCGGATTCGGCCGGGTTCGGTGAGCGGATTCGCGGATGGAAGGGACGTCACAGGGTGTTGATCAATGGAAGGACCGGTCTCCTTTGGATAACTCTTCATTTTTCAACAGACCCAGGTTGCTCTCACTGGGTTGGCCGAACCTCTAAAACAGTGACCAAATCCTTCCAGGAACATTTCGGTGTGGGTCAAAAATAGGGCAACCCCAAAATGGAAACAAGGACTAAAACCTTTGTCACGCATTTTCAGAAACGAATATATACCCTACTCCCTGGCAATTTGTGGTTTAATGTTTGACCCATTTTTGCCTAAACCACGAGATACCCAGGGAAAAAGGGTAAATACGTTTCTGAAAATGAGTAAGAATGGACAGATAATGAGGTAGAAATCCAGGGAGCCCTGGTGCTTCCACACAAACCCAGCCCGAATCACAGGGCACATTTTACAAAAATCTCCTCCCCCCCCCCTACCAGGGTTGGGATTCATTGTTCAAATACCTATCATCTGGTGCTTGGTATGGATTCTGTCAATCCTCAGTGTCAACTTCAGATTAATCCGGAGGACCGTACTCGTCAGGAACCCCTCAAAGAGATCTCACTTCCTCACTACAAGGCGAACCACCCCTGATTAGTACGCTCCCGCCCCCCTATTTAGACACAGACTACTTGGTTGGGCCAAGTTAGTAGTTAAGTGGTTAGCCTCTTGGGTTAGCTGCCCTGAGGCGAATCCCACATTCACAGGGGTGAGTTAGAACCGGAGGGCTACCAACTTACTAACTTGGCAGCGAACACCCAAGTACAGGCAGTTGCTCTTTGGCTCACCGACACACCCCCCATTTCCGCTTTTTCAATGCCCAAAATCCCAAGTGTCCCCCTAAAATCGCAGTGGTTGCTTCCATTTTGTCAAAAGACATGTTGTCTATTTCCCTCTGTTGGTTTTTAGAGTTGGTTTATCTATCACTGGACATATATTTGTCTCATGTTTTTGCCCAGGGGGACGGGTTTCTATCCGCAAATGGAGGGTTGGGATTCTCGGGTAAGAACCAGAGACCCTGGAGATGTTCAGTGTCCAAGGGTGGAAGTACCCCTTGTTCATAGCCCTTTGCTTCGCTGGTGTCCGACCACTTTATGAGGGGTAAATACCATTTTTGGAATTTTGAGAAGGATATTTAGGCATCATCCTACTGCTTCTTCTTCTATTGTTGTTCTTATTAGTATTATTGTTATTAGTTATTATTCTTATTATTATTATGATTATATTATTATTGTTATATTCTTTTCTTTCTGACACTTGTATTTGTTATAATATGTATGATGTTGACAAGGGGTATGTAAAAGGGGTGTGTGTACCGAGCACCCCTGGGGTCAGGGCCCAGACCTCGAGTTCGACCTGGGCGGCTTCTCGCTGCAGCTGCCGGTGGCGGACTACGCCTCCGGCGTAAGCTGCGAGCCGCAGCTCGGAGAGCTCCAGCTGGACGAGAAGGAGTTCCAGGCGAAGGGATCCACCGCTTCGGCGAGGAAGCTGCGAAATCGGTAGGGAAGGAGAATGGAATGAACCCAGGCTTTGGTGCCCTTAGAAACAAACACCAGTTGGATGGTTTTTCCTTGTTCATGTCTCATTTCCTGCTCGCACCAGCCAGAAGAGCAAGCTGAAGGAAACCCTTTCGATGCAAATGTCTGACCCGGTAAGAGGAACCTGGGTCTGGGAAATTACTTGTGATCGGTGCGAGAGACGAGAGATGCAGGGAATGAGAAATGGAATGTCCTCAAGAAAAAGCCATCCCTTATGGCTTCCTTTTAGGGAATCCCTGGGTTCATTCCTCATTCCCTACTGAGCACCAGCAAGGAAGCGGGTGTGTCCTGTCGACCCCAGATTAACAGCCCCCCCAGCTTTATCCATAGCAGCACCAGATAGTCACTCCCAGCATGGGCACTTTTTGAGATCGGTTTGACTTGGATGGATGCCAGCGGTTGAACCTAGCTTGATCGTGGTAAGGCAGTGCGAAATATTGTCTTCTTGGCTCGTTGAACTTGATGGATTCACATGCCCCTTGTTGGTCAACTTGCAGAGCCTTGGGCTTGTACTTGGGCAGGTAGGCTACACCCATGGTCATAACTGGGGAAACTGGGGTTAGGCAATTCCCATGGCTACACAATTTGCGAGCCTTCTTTCCGCCCAAGTAGGTGTCATTGCTGGATCGCCTTGGCTGGAAGATGCAACTTAGACCTGGAAACTGAAAACCACTGGCCTTTTTCCACCCAAGCAGGTGTCATCACTAGATTGCTTTGGCTGGAAGATTGATGTGGACATGGATTTCAAAGGTTTCAGTTTGGTTGACGCATCTACACTTTTCTGACGCTAAGGAAAGCCTGGCTCAAAGCATATGGGTTCTTCTGAAAAAAATGGGCACCACCTGCAGGTGGTGTCCTTGCGCTTTCTTTTTGAAACTATCCAACAAAGGGTCCGAATCCTATGTTGAGTAATTCCATATCCATTCCCTTGGAAGAGGGTTTGAAGAAGCCAGTTGCAACACCAGGCAGCGTAAAAAAGATTTACCAGTTGTTTCAAACAATGCCTCAGTTATGCTCGCACTTCCCCACGTTTTCTTTTCCTAAGGGGCCTCCGAATTTGAGGGGAAGGCGTGTTGAGCACAAGTTCACCTCAGAAAGCCCATAGTTCTTGGGCGGCCTTGGATTGGAGAAGCGGCTTCTTGGATCTCAGAGGGCTAAATGTACATGTGTCTCAAGTGTGGTTTCCGTTTAAAGCCATCCAAGAGGGGTTCCCATATAGGTGCCAGAACCACACATGGAGGTTGAGCAAAAATTCCGTGACCATTGGACAACCGCTAGAAAGATTGGATATTTCCCACTAACTACGAAAAGTTGGTCAACACTGGGGGCCTTGTCGGAATATCTGATCAACCCCATACTGCGGATGGACGAAATTCTGCATCACTTTGAATCCATGGTTGAAACCATTGTTTGTTGGTATCTACGTTGGGGAATCGACTCATTCCCAGGTGCAGGATTTCGATTTCGTCCATCCAGAGTATCCAGAGCCATAGGTGTCCTTTGTGGTTGTTTTGCTAGAAGAATAGATGGCCCTGGTTTACCTGGTGGTTTAATCATCTACCAAGGCCACCTATTTCCCCCAAAAGGACACCTATGTCCAGAGCCCTTCCGTCCAGGGAGTGTACGCCTTCGGCGAGTCGGTGCTGCGGCGCTACTACGCGGCCTTCGACTGGCAGAAGAAGCGCCTGGGCTTCGCGCGGGTGGCCAAGCGCCGGGTGGCCTTCCAGTCGGTGGTGGTCTAAGACGGCATGAGCGCCGAAGTGGAAGCAGCGAGCGGAAAAAATGGGATATATATATATATATATATATATTTTCGCGGGGGTAGCTTTTTTTGGGATGGTTGTGAAGGATTGGCCAGCACTCTCCGTGGGTCCATTTGTACCTCTGTGACGAGCCTTGTGTGAGCCATGTTGGGGCCAATTGACAACCCTGCAAAGTGCCGGCGGCTTTGCTTTTTTTGCAGGGGTTGGGAGGTTCACTATTTTAAGAAAACCCTTGAACGCCCTCAAATGTTGGTTTTCTTGTCAGTCAACCCCAAAAGGGTACCCTCAGTGAAAACACCCCTTGTGCCGTGCGGGCGTGTTGCGCGTGTGATGAGTTCACTGATTCGGGCCACCAGAATGACTACAGAACCAAAAAGTTGGTAGATTTCATTCTATCCTGTCTACTAGGACCTAGTAAGGTTCTAAGCACCTTTCTAGGCCTTTGGTTTCCCGCCTGAAGCTTTGGCATCCCGACAGGATCTGTTTGATGACTCGGATCCGGGCAGCACAACAATGCATGCCCAGCACTCGCCGAAGACTCAGCTGCAGCTGCCTTCCCCACACGTTATTTGACCTTCGTTGGCCTGCTTGTGCCAGCGTCCCCCATATTTCGCTCTCTTTCAGGTGGTTTGAACATCAGCCTTTGGCCCAGTTTTGATCGAGTTTCCTCGGTCAAGTTTTGAGGGGACATATGGGGAGCCAGCTTTGCGTATTGCGTGCCTTGCCGCTTTGCCTGGAGATTGCATTGTTTTCTGAGGCCTTGTAGTGACACAACGCCGTATTCAAAGGCGGGGCGGTGCTTTGAGATGGTGTCACCATCAGTTGAGCGCCCTTTCGCCGATTCTCGTAGAGGCTTACTGCCTCAGTCCCTGAGCTTCAGAGCCGCTCTTTGGGGTTGGACCATGGCCTTGGCAAGCAGTTTGGTGACT